TCCTGGCCTTTTTATTTTTAATTTTGAGATAGCATCTCATTAAGTTGCTTAGGGCCTTGCTAAATTGCTGAGGCTTGTCTCAAACTTGCAATTCTCCTTTCTTAACTTCCAGAGCTGCTGGGATTACAGGTGTGTACCACCATACCTGGCTGATTCTACTTATTTTCTATATTGTAAACCCTCCTTAATGATTTGTTGGAGTGCTTTAAATTTATTATGAAATATTTCACCCATATTCTTATTCATCTGTGAGTCCTCACAACAGTCCTTACATGTCATTGCAATTCAAATATTTATGGAATGACTAAAATAATGCAAAGGGTCTCATGATCAATTAATTATTAGGGGGGTCTGTAACTTCTGAGAAAGTGAACCTTCTCATATTAGGAGATATTATAACTTGGAACCCAAGCAAAGAGATTCATGTTATATGCCCTAGAGGCCACTGCTTCAGAAAAATATCTGTGGCTCACCCATATCCAGGTTGCAGCAGGAATCCTGATATCAAGTCACTGGATTGTGTATCTGTGAGACATTTTTAGGGACTTATTAATACACAATTAGCGAATTTTCTCTAAGTTTATTTCACTCATTTTAACAAACACCTATGCCTACTATATGCTAGGCATTTACAGAAGCTAACTACCATATGTGGGATGGGTTTTCTCCTGCTCTGGTGGTTAATAGTAAAGTTAAAGGCCCAGGGTGGGGATGATTTTGATGACAAATACATGGATACAGGGTTTATGAATGTTAATCCAACATAGGTCATGAAGAGATGATAATTGATCCATATTTTCCCCTCCTTCAGTAAGAATACCTCACTACCCTGGATGGTCACACATACTACCTCTTTCTCTTTTACATGTGTAGGTAAACATAATTGGTTTACATGGTCTTTATCTTCAAATATTTTCTTTTGGGAAGTCAGACAAGTTTTACTTAGGAACTTTCTTGACCTTTCCCCACCCCCATTTAGATTCTCTTAATCATTCCTTCAAAGTGAATTTTTTCCTACCATATTTCTTTGATGTCAAACCTATGCAAGCAATTCTGGAAGGTGCTTGGGAATAGTAAGAGATAATTTTTTCCCCTTCTGAACTATATCCTAATTGCTATGAATTTTTATTGCCTTGTAACAAGTTTATTATTGACAAAGTCATATTTTAGATTGTAGTTAATACCATCATATTAAAACAGAGTATAACCATGGTAGCAAACCAATAGCAATCAATCTTGTTTTTCTTTTTTCCTTCTTTTGGTATTGGGGACTTAATACAGTGGCACTTTACCACTGAGCTACATTCCTAGCCTTTTAAAAATTTTTATTATTGGAGCTAGGGATGTGGCTCAAGCAGTAGAGCGCTCGCCTCAGCACCACATAAAAAATAAAGTAAATAAAGATGCTGTGTCCACCGAAAACTAAAAAATAAATATTTAAAAAATTCTCTCTCTCTCCAAAAAAAAAAATTATTATGAAACAGGGTGTCACTAAATTGCTGAGGCTGACCTTGAGTTTATGATCCTCCTGCCTCAGCCTCCTGAATCACTGGAATTACAGGCATGTATAACCTGGCATCACCCTTATATTCTTGTTTGAACAGTCCTGACATCATTGACACTTTCTTTTAGAAATATTCTGTCACTTCTATCACTGGACATAGCTCAGAAGTAGAGTGTTTGCTAACATGGGCAAGGCCCTGGGTAAGATCACCAACAACACCACAAAAAAAAGGGGGGGGGAATATTCTATCACAGTGGGAAAAGGGGATAGATAGACCTCGAATTGGGTGGGCTTCACATCTGCTCAGCTTGGTACACAGTATGATGCTTCTAGAGTTGTTGTTTTAAATATTTTTTTAGTTGTTGATGAACCTTTATTTTATTAATTTATATAAATGCAGTGCTGAGAATCGAACCCAGTGCCTCATATATGCTAGGCAAGTGCTCTGCCACTGAGCCACTATTTGTTATCATTACTGTTGTTAACATCTTTGTAGTCATGATCACCTTCAGGTCTAGAGTCCTTATTCAGAAGAAATAGCTTGGTTTTCTCAGTTAAGGATTAATAACAGCAACTCCTAAAAGATGAGGAAGAATATATCTGATTGAATGGTCTCCAGCTGTGATTTCCTTATTCTGAACTCAGGAACCATGATTAAAATTTAGGTCATAGGGCTGGGATTGTGGCTCAGCAGTAGAGCACTTGCCTAGCATGTGTGAGGCCCTGGGTTCGATCCTCAGCACCATGTAAAAATAAATAAAATAAAAATATTGGGTCCTACTACAACTAAAAAATAAATATTTAAAAGAAAAATTTAGGTCACAGTCTTTTTGATTGTATTTTAAATGTGAGACACAGTCTTACGATAGTAGTGAGTAGAAGGGGTACAGACCCACTAGATGTTGATTATTATTGCAAATCTAATAATTTAGTGGAAAATTCAAAGTGATTTTTTTTAATTGGGAGTTGAACCCAGAGGTACTTTACTACTCAGCCATATCCCCAGCCCTTTTTATTTTGAGACAGGATCTCACTAAGTTGCTTGGGACTTGCTAAATTGCTGAGGCTAGCCTTGAACTTGGGATCCTCCTGCCTCAGGCTGCAGAGTGTCTGGGATTACAGGTGTGTGCCACTGGGTCCATTTTAAAGTGATTTTTTTTTGGGGGGGGTATCAGGGATTGCCTGTCACTTAACCACTGAGCCACATCCGCAGCCCTTTTTATGTTTTATTTTGAGACAGGGTCTTACTAAGTTGCTTAGGGCCTTGCTAAATTGCTGAGATTGGCTTTGAATGCAATCCTCCTGCCTCAGCTTCCAGAGTCCCTATGATTACAGGCATGCGCCACTAGCCTAGTAAAAGTGATTCCTAAAGTACTGCTATTTTTAGTACTGGGAGTATGATGTTCAGACTTATTTGCTTTGTTTTGTCCTGTTATATTAAAGTTACTTAGGATTGAGGGTATAGTGCAGTGGTAGAGCACTTGCCTAATATGAATGAGACCTGAGGTTTGGTCATCAGCATCTCAATAAATAAATAAAGTTACTTAAAACATGCATGTGTTTACACACTGCTCTGTCCTTATTGACGACATTATGTGCCTATCATCATCATTACAGAAGAATAATACATACTCCTGGCATAGAGTGTAAACTGTTTAAATAGATGCACATTTGTGATTATGCATAGTGGTAAAGATTGGAACTACCTGTTTCTATACATTTTAGCCTGAGCAAAGATTTTTTTTTTTTTTTTAAAGGATATATTTTTTTAATTTTTTAATATTTATTTTTTAGTTCTCGGCGGACACAACATCTTTGTTTGTATGTGGTGCTGAGGATCGAACCTGGGCCGCACGCATGCCAGGCGAGCGCGCTACCGCTTGAGCCACATCCCCAGCCCCCTGAGCAAAGATTTTTACTTTGAAGGTTTTTAAGGATCAGAGGTATGAAATATAAGAGGCACACTTCACAGTAATTAAGATTCTATTTCGGGCTGGGGATGTGGCTCAAGCGGTAGCGTGCTCGGCTGGCATGCGTGCGGCCCAGGTTCAATCCTCAGCACCACATATAAACAAAGATGTTGTGTCCGCCAAAAACTAAAAAATAAATATTAAAATTAAAAAAAAAATAAAAGATTCTATTGCAGGAAGATTCTCAAACACAAATTTGATATTTGTGTTTCTCTTTTTATTTTTCCTTTACTACCCCAATTCTTACCACTACCACCAGAAAAGGGAGGGAATCTGGAGATAAAATTACTATTCATCTCCAGGTTGCTAATTACTCTAAGGAAGTAATACCAGATAGGTTTGTGCTATAAAGTGCTTTAAACCAAGGGAGAACTAGAGCATGAATGTAATGTAGTAAAATGCACTATGTTATATATAATTATACAAATTTAGGCAGAGTATTAGCAACCAAAAATGTGAATGCTAAAAGTCTTATTAGAGCATAAGGATATAAAATGTGCCATGACAGAAGGGACCCATGTTTCAGCTAGTATGGCATTTTGACTCCAACAAAAGTGCTTAGAGAATGAGCAGGTTCTGGTTGCCTGTCCTGATATCACTTGTGAAAAATTAGAGATGTTTCATATCAAATCCCAAATTTCCTTGAACATAATATAATTGTCATTCATCTAAACTTTTTAAAAATTATAACTTTTGATTAAATCCCTATTAGTGTTACAAGTTTTATTTTACTGCCTTATATGATAATTAATTTCCTCTTACTGTCCAAGTTTAAAATAATTTTCAAGTTCCTGAGAGTATTTTGCAGTTCTCGTTTTTTATTCTGTGAATAATATATGTTTACTTATACCCTTTGTGATTCAATAGATGTGTATTTCTTCATCTTTATTTGGGAGCGGGTACCAGGGATTGAATCTAGGGGTGCTTAACCAGTTTTTTATTTTTATTTTATTTTATTTTATTTTATGTTTTTGAGACAAGTTCTTGCTAATTTACCTAGGATCTCACTTCTTCATCTTTTTTTTTTTAATGAAACGTAGACTTTATTAGTCTTGTCTCATTGAACAGTGTACCTAAGGTGTCAACATTAATCATGTTCTGCAACGTCTGTATAATAAAAACATTCCACTATAACATAAACCTTTAACAGGTTTCTTTTAGCCCATTGTTATTCCTGGAAGATAGGTAGAACAAGTATATAGTTTCTTATTTTATGGCAAAGGAATTTCTTTAATTTTTTTAATTTTTAATTTTTAGTTGTAGTTGGACACAATACCTTTATTTTATTTATTTTTACATGGTGCTGAGGATTGAACTCAGGGCTTTTCACCTGCTAGGTGAGCACTCCATTGCTGAGCCACAATCCCAGCCCATCCGGTAGTTTTTAATTCTTTAATTCTCCTGTTAAGTTCATTGCAATTAATGTTTAGAATCATTTCCCCCCCCACGGAGCCAAGGTCTTACTCGATCTCCAACATCTCAATGTACTATCTTTCTGACCTTCTATTCTTCATACCTCCCTGCAGCCCTATGTGTCACTGGCTCATCAGATGGCACCACCTAGTCCAAGCAACAGCACCCCTAACAGCAGCAATGGGAGCAATGGGAATGACCAGCTGAGCAAAACCAACTTGTACATCCGAGGATTGCAGCCAGGCACTACTGACCAGGACCTTGTCAAGCTGTGTCAACCGTAAGTTGTGGTATAAGTGGGTAGGCTCCAAGGGACAGTACAGATTTGGTGATACTGGCTTTTTGCCAGATTTTCTTATCCTAAAATACAGTATTGTGTTTCTACCCAATAGTCCCACGGTGTCTCAGCATCTCCTATTTTTTAAATTTTGAGACAGAATCTCACTAAGTTGTTGAGGCTGGCCTCAAAATTGCAAACTTTACCTTAGCCTCCGAAGTCTCTGGGAGTACAAGCTGCACCACAGTGCTTGGCTCAGCATCCCCTCTTAAAAAAGTTCTCTCTGTTGGGCTGGGGTTGTGGCTCAGTGGTAGAGCACTTGCCTAGCATATGAGGCACTGGGTTCGATTCTCAGCACCACAAATAAATAAAATAAAAGTACATTGATAACTAAAAAAAATATTTTAATAAAAGTTCTCCCTGTTGCTGGTTTATAAAACATTTATGTATTTCTCTAAGGGAAGCCAGGATGGGGCTAGCCTTTGAACCAACTTTGTTTCTGGTATCTACTCTGAACCAATAGGCTTAATGAAAATATTGCTGTCCTTACACCTTGGCCATAGAAATGCTCAACCTCTCTATAGATACTGATTAACAGGTGACAAGAGCTGGCAGCAAGGATAGAAGAAAGTGAGACTAGCTAATTTCATATACACGTTGGAGAGTTTCAGCTTTTGGGATGTTCCTAGTGAATCAGAGCCACTTTCATATTAATGAATAAAGAAGAAGGTGGAGAAAGAGGCTGTCACTCTCATCTAACCTATGAAGAACTTTCGAATCATAGGTCAACTACCTTGGAATTGCCCAATAAGGAATGCTGAAAAAAACAGAAGAGTGCGGAGATACCCAGCTCCATTTCATTTGTCAGGAAAGCATGCATTTCAGACACTATGTCTGAAGGAGTGATTAGAGGAAGAAGTCTGGGAATGGGATGGGGAGAGTAAAAGAAAGGAATTTGGGTCAATGAATGTTGGGAAGAGGTAGAAATATGAACTATGTACATTTACTATCTTTTATAACTCCTTATTGCAATACAATAAGCATAAAGAAAAGAAAAGTAAACAAATCAAACGTATAGGTAGTGAGGTGACTTTTCGCAAAGGGAACATAAACTTGGTGCAGTCTAGAAACAGATCAAGAAACAGAACCATACCAGCTCTTCAGAACTTCACCTTCTGTGATATCCCTGCAAAGTGTCACTGTTGGCTTCTGCTTTGCTGGTTTGTTTGTTGTTGTTGTTGTTGTTGCTGCTTGTTTGGTTTTGGTGCTGGGAATTAAACCCAGGACCTTTCACATGCTGGGCAAGCTCTCTACCATCAGTTACACCCCCAGCCATTTTTTTTTTTCCTTAAATTTTGAAAAAGGTCCTTGCTTAACTGCTTGGGCTAGTCCTCAAACCTGTGATCCTCTTGCCTCAGCCTCCCAAGTAGCTGGGATTATAGTCATGCAACACTATGCAAGGCCAAAACTTAATTTTTATTGCTTATATATTTCCATCATAGGACTATAACAGTTAGTTACTTATTCTGGACATTTGAGTTGTTTCCAGTTTGTAACTATTGTCAATATAGTATGCTATGAATTTATACACATCTTTTGGTGCATGTGAATAATGCATTCATGCTGGGTGTATACACTAGGAGTAAAATTGCTGGATTGCTGGGTGCAGTGGTGCACACCTATAATCCCAGTGGCTCAGGAGGCTGAGGCAGGAGGATCACGGTGTTCACAAAGCCAGCAACAAGACTGTCTCAAAATACAAAATAGGGGTGGGGATGTGGCTCAGTGGTTAAGTGCCCTTGAGTTCAATCAACCCCTGGTACCCACCCCCCAAAAAAATTGCTGGGTTACAGGACATGCATCTATGCAGATTTTATAGGTAACTATTAAATAATTTTCTGAAGTAATTTAACTAATTCTTGCAGTGTGTGTAAATTCCATCTGCTCCAAATCCTGGAGAGGAGAGGTAGAATATCTTGCTGTCCAAGATGTAGCAGTTTGAGGCATTCGAGATGCTTTATAAATCCCTTTTTCTCCTGAGGTTGTGAGTTGGTCCAGGCAGATCATGTGGATTTTTACTAGCACCAGGCCACACAAATTCTATCTCTAAAGGCTAGGGATGTGTATGTGTGTGTGTATTCCTTCCCTTATATTAGTTTACCTTGCTAGAAAAGTATGTAAGTGGGATGTAGAGAACGTAGTCTAGGATTAGTACATTCTGTGGGGAGGTGGGAATGGGCAGAACTGTTGGTTATGAGTATTATATCAATCTAGGTCCTTGATTTCTCCATTCTTTATTTCTTGTACTAAATATAATGCTAACAAAAATCCTATCACAGTAAAAGACAGAGAAGAAACTCAATTTGATTTCTTTATACTTTTAGAATTTGATCTGAACAAAGTCTGAAGGGATAAAAAGTCAGGGTCAGGGCTGGGGATGTGGCTCAAGCGGTAGCGTGCTCGCCTGGCATGCGTGCGGCCCGGGTTCCATCCTCAGTACCACATACCAACAAAGATGTTGTGTCCGCCGAGAACTAAAAAATAAATATTAAAAAAATTCTCTCTCTCTCCCCCCCCCACTCTCTGTCTCTTAAAAAAAAAAAAAAAAAAAAAAGTCAGGGTCAGCATGTAGGATAGAAGGAAGGAGCCCAGAAGAAGGAGAAGGCTGAGAAGGGCAGGTGGTGGTATTCTAGTGGGTGGGTGAGCTAAAAAGTCCAACCTTTTTAGGAAGGGTGTTTCTCATGCACAGAAGGACTTCCTGCCTTTGTCCTAGTGGTCTCTTCCTGGGTTGTCGAGGAAGTAAATGTTGCTGGATCCTAAACTCTGGTGGGCCGGAAGGAGAGGCGTGGTCTAGGACTGGAGCTTCTGGTTCTCTTGGAGGGGCTCCTTCTGAGGAGGAAGCAGCAGTGACCCAGCTGTTGCCAGCTGCAGTGGAAATTCTGAGCTCAGAGTCTCAGGCTGTTAGACCGCAGCAAACTCCACCCTGGGGCCTTGATAGGGATAGCAGCGTGTGTGTCCTCTGGCCTGCAGTCAGACTTCTCATGGGTCTTTCCTCTTGCTTGAATTTGGGAAAGAATCCAAGAATGTAGCCCTGAAGGGCTAGGATGGCCACATCCATCCCCACCCCTTGTTTTATGTGCTCTTTTCCCAGTCTCCAGGGCCCTGCTTGGCTTATTCTGTCTGATACTTTGGGTCACAGAAACTCCACTAAAAAAGTCAATGAAAGGTCTCCAAGGAGTGAAAACAAATGGATCAACCAGATATGTTCTTTAGGGATAAGAGGAGAGATGAACAATAATGGTTGTTTGGGTATTGGTCTCAAATTTAATCGCTGCCAACTCTTGTATTTCTAACTTTGTTAGTGGCTTTTATTCTGAATCTTTAATATTTTCACCTTCTTTTTTTTAAAATATTTTTTTAGTTGTAGATGGACTCACAATATCTTTGTTTATATTTTTATATGGTGCTGAGGCTTGAACCCAGTGCCTCACACCTGTAAGGCAAGCGCTCTACCACGGAGGCACATCCCCAGCCCCTAATATTTTCACCTTCTTGGAGTACAGTGTGGAGGCTGTGGAACACCTCTTGTACAATTTCTGATCTGTGTTCCTCTTACTACTTTTTTTTTTTTTTTCTAAAACTTCATGTGACTCTGCTGCAAAGGAAGAATTTTCAAAAAGTTGAAAAACATGACTCTTATTACACATATAGAATGAAGATATGTCAAAGATTTATTTAACCCATTAGTGAGGAAGCCAGCAAGATGGAAAAATGGGTTCAAAGAACATTTGAGCCAGGTACAGTGGTGCCTGCCTGTAATATCAACTATTCAGGAGGCCAAGACAGGGGGATACCAAGTTTGAAGCTAGCCTTGGGCAACTTAGTGAGACCCTTTGTCAAAATAAAAATTAAAATAGGTTGGGGATACAGCTCACTGGTAGAGCACCCCTTTGTTCAATCCCCAGTATGGCAAAGCATATAATCAAGAAAGAAAAAGAGCATTTGAAGAACTATTTATTAAAGAAAGAATGGGGGTTGGGATTGTGGCTCAGCGGTAGAGCGCTTGCCTAGCATGTGCGAGGCCCTGGGTCCCATCCTCAGCACCACATAAATAAATAAAATAAAAGTATTGTGTACAACTTAAAGAAATAAATATTTTTTTAAAAAGAAAGAATGTTGGAATAAAATTGGTAGGTTAGATTTAAAAATGTTGGGGCCAGGATTGTGGCTCAGCAGTAGAGTGCTCACCTAGCATGTGGGAGGCCCTGGGTTCGATCCTCAGCACCACATAAGAATAAATAAATAAAGATATTGTTTTTTAAAAAAAAATGTTTCCTGTCTTGCCAGATGGTAAAACCAGGAACCTTTGGAATTATCTTTTCTCTCTCTCTTTCTGTCTTTTCATGCTGGGGAATTGAATCTGAGGCCTTGCACATGCTAGACAAATACTTTACCACCAAGCTACACCTCCTGCCCAAATTATCTTTTCTACTGAAGATAAATAATTTGCATTTGTAGTAGACAAAAATCTACAAGTGAATGTGTGAGTGAATGTGTGTCTTTACTAGGTCTGGGCCTGATCAGAGTAAATATTAATTTAAACAAAGAAATATTCCCCTAGATAATGAATATTCTTTGAATGGACCATTTGGACAATGTTCTCAAATGACATTAAAAGAATATGCAGTGGTGGCGAATGCCTGTAATCTCAGTGACTCCGGAGGCTGAGGCAGGAGGATCACAAGTTCAGAGCCAACCCTCAGCAACTCAACTCAGTAAGACCCTGTCTCTCCATAAAATATAAAATAAGGCTGGGGATGTGGTTCAGTGAGTGAGTGCCCCTGAGTTCAATCCCTAGTAACCTCCCCCAAAGGATATGCAGTCCTCCTTTTGCCTTATCTCCAAGTTTTAGATAACTTTTTAAAAAATATGTATTTTTTAGTTATAGGTGGACATAATATCTTTATCATTTTTTTTTAATGTGGTGCTGAGGAATGAACCCAGTGCCTCACATATGCTAGGCAAGTGCTCTATCTCTGAGCCACAACCCCAACTCCCAGATGACTTTTTTTGTATGTGTATGTTTGTGGTTGTGATACTGGGGATTGAACCCAGGGACTCTTTACCATGAACTGCATTCTCAGCCCTTCTTATTTTAATTTTGAATAAGGTCTTGTGAAGGTACTCAGGCTAGCCTCAAACCTGTGATCCTCCTGCCTCAGCCTCCCAAGTCACTGAGATTACAGCCATTTCCCATTATGGCCATCTTCACACGACTTTCTTTAATATTTATTTTTTTAGTTTTAGGTGGACACAGTATCTTTATTTTACATTTATGAGGTACTGAGAATCGAACCCAGAGCCTCACTCATGTAGACGAGTGCACTACCATTTCAACCACATCCCCAGCCCACACGACTCTTTTTTTTAGAGAGAGAGAGAGAGAATTTTAATATTTATTTATTTATTTTAGTTTTCAGCAGACACAATGTCTTTTGTTTTTGTATGTGGTTCTGAGGATTGAACCTGGAGGGGGAGTGTGCTACTGCTTGAGCCACATCCCCATCCCCCACACAGGAATTTCTTAATACTGCTGTTACACTGGTCTTATTCCTATTCCCTTCACTAGTATGCATAATTTTTTTCTCTCTCCATGTTTTTTATTGGTGCATCATAATTTTACATATTGATGGGTACACTCAAATCTTGACAATGAAAAGAGAAAGTCAGAATGTGGTAAAGCAGGGGAGAGAGAGAGCCATTTGTTATAGGTTAAACTTGATGTCTCTTGAATATTACAACAATAATAATAGCACTTAAGATTTTTCAAGTGCTTTCCATATGGTAAACATTAGTGCTTTATATTCATTAATTCATTTTATATTCCCAACAATCCTATTTCCCTTTATAGATGATGAAGCCGAGCCATTTCAGAAAAGTTTAATGACTTGTCCAAGACCAAACCTAGCTAGAAAGTGGCAGAACCAGGATTTGAACCAAAGCAGTTTGGCTCAGGTTGTCCTTCATTAGGGGTCAGTAAAGGGATGGGAATGGATGTCAGAGAAAAGAAATGTCTATAGTTTGTTCAAAAGGAGACAAATAATGTGAAGGATTATTTTTAGTACTCAAGGAATAACAGCCAGAGCTCTGCACTTACTCTGCCTTGTGGGTATTGCCAAGCATCTTTCCCAAAAGACAGTCATCTCTATTCAACCAGTGTTTGAGTTTTAGTTGAGGAAAAAGAGAGAAATGTATTGGTATTATAAGGACTATAGTCAGTTCATTTCTTTGTAGGCTTCTTTGAAGTGATAGGTTTCTATTAATGGTGACATTTCTGGTTTTTTTTTTTTTTTTTTTTTTGGTACCGGGGATTGGTCAGGGGCTTTTGACCACTGAGCCACATTCCCAGCCCTATTTTGTATTTTATTTAGAGACAGGGTCTCACTGAGTTGCTAATTGCCTCGCTTTTTGCTGAGGTTGGCTGTGGACTTGTAATCCTCCTGCCTCAGCCTCCCTGAGTTGCTGGGATTACAGGTGTGCATCACCACAGGGCTGGCTCTTTATCATTTTTATTAAGATAAATAGGAAAAGTAGTCCTACTGGGAGCACAGGAAGGGCATGGATTAATCCAGTTGTCTTAATTTCTGTCCTATTGTTAGTCCCTCTCCCCAGATTATCACTTTTCTTTTTATTTTTTTTAGGGGGGACTAGGAATTGAACCCAGAGGTGCTTAGCAATTGGGCCACATCCCCAGCCCTTTTTTATTTTTTATTTTGAGACAGGGTCTCAGTAAGTTGCTCAGGGCCTCACTAAATTGCTGAGGCTTTGAACTTGTTATCCTCCTGCCTCTCTAGTTGGTAGGATTACTGGATATGCCACTGTGCCCAGCTGTCACTTTGCATTTTTCTTTCCCTTAGATACGGCAAGATTGTCTCCACGAAGGCCATACTGGACAAGACCACAAACAAATGCAAAGGTAAGAGAATACTTGTCCTTGGGGATGGAGAGTAGCAGTGAGTGAGGCCATCTTTGTCTTTGAGAGAGAGAGAGGCAAGGGATGGTCTTTGTTGCTGAGAGAGCCTGAGTACCCAGTGCCCAGGAAAAGTCTGAGGTTTTCAGGCTCAAAAGACAAGTAGATATTTAGATTAATTGGTGCCAGATGACTAGAGTTGTTTGAGAAGCCAAGGTCAGAATGCTGCACAGAGTTTCTTGAGTCCCTTGGGTCCACTTTGACCTCATGTTTTCCTAGATGAGGTGATGAAGGTTGGCAGGAAAGATTTTTTTTTTTTTTTACTTTGTAAAGCAATGTATATGCCTTTTGATTGTGGTGGAAGGATGACTCAGTAGATGTTATTTTCCAAGAATGAGTAGTTTTATTTGGGGTTTTTAGAAGTTCTGAGTGGAGCTGAAGAATGGAAGGAGGAAAAAAGGCTGTGGGGTGGGGGGTGGGGTGGGGGCTTTTTCCAGCAGGTGGCTGGGTAGCCATTTGTCCAGGAGAGGCTATATTCCCCACATGCCTAGCATTTCCGGGGTATATCTAGGAAAGAGGGCAGGGTTTTCTTTTAGAAGTGTGGAGGGGGGCTGTGGGTTATTAGAAGGCCTAGATCCTAAAATCTCAGATTTTTTTAAAGGGGAGGGCAAGGGTACCACAAAGACCTCATTTCCTTTGGCATCCTTAACCACAAAGTAGACCCAACCTCAGAGCATGAGAAGCACATGGATAGCCACCTGAAACCTGTTCATTTGTCTTTCTCCCTACCACTTCCCTTACATGGATCATAACTCTTCTCTGTCTCCTGAAAAGCCTGGGCGTCCTACCTCCCTTACACCTCCCACCTCCCCGTGATGCTGTTTCCCTGTTCCAGGCTATGGCTTTGTGGATTTTGACAGTCCTTCAGCAGCACAGAAGGCTGTAACAGCTCTGAAAGCCAGTGGTATACAGGCACAAATGGCAAAGGTAAGGCTGCCACTCCAGGCTATTCCTCCAAGGGGTGTAGTTACCACTAAAGTTCCAGTTCTAAGTCTTCCAGAGTGAAAGCCTTGAAATGCCCCATGAAATTGATAGGCAAGCACTGTCTGTCCCTGGGTCTAGTCAGTCTGGATATGAGTCCATTGAGCATTCCTGGGTATTGGAGCAAGATTGTATTCAGTCTGTGGCAGATAGCTCTGTCCACTCTGTTCCTCTCGTCATTATAAGCCTGCAGGAGGGTCAGGAGGCCTCTTGCAATCCTGCTGCCTATCTCCACCCTGGCCCCACTTCCCTACCAGAGGGATTGTGGCATTTTGCAACATTCTCTGAAGAAGCCTGTTGTGCAATTCGGAGGTTCTGAACAATGCTCTCCCCCCTCCCAACACTATTCCTAGTAGGGGCAGGGAGTGGAGTGGGGAGCCAGAGGGAAGCCACAGCAAGGAAGGAAACTGTTTCTTCTGCTCAGATCTGTCTGGAACTGTTTTTGGTCTAGATTACTAGAAAACTAGAAGCTTGTCTTGTATCTTCTCTTTGGTGGGGTTGTCCTCTTGCCTTTCTGAAGCCATCATGAACACTATGTCTAGAATTAATGAGGCAGGACTGCCAGATGCTTCTCTCTGTAATAAAGAAAAAGGAAACCCTGAAGGCAAAGGCCAAAGAGGGGTTAAGGTTGCTGGTGATCACTGCCCAAGGCAGAGTGACTGCTTAAATTCTTAAAAATACAGCCATCAGAAGATACTGCCATTGCTTGCCTTCTGGGGGACCCTCTGGGTCTTCATTCTGATATAAAGCGCTCTGACTGCAGCTCCAGCCTGTAGGAGCCTTCAGAAGTTTTCAGGACTTGTGGTGACCACTGAGCTACACATCTGGTCCTTTCTCTGTCCCCTTCTCCCCTCTTCCTGCTTTTCTTTCGGTCAGGGGGTGAACAAGCATTCCTACTCCAAGATTGTGCTGTGACCGGAAGAGGGGGAGGGGGCTACTCAAAACAATTCATCCTTGGTGAGAGCAGTCCAAGAAAATCCAGCCTCTGGGGCAGGCTGCTGGGGAGAGGGGTGCTGCTCCGCCTACTTCTTAAAGAGACAGCCAGGTACCATCCATGACTTGTAGAGTACTAGAGATGGTAAATCTGTTTTTGTTTTTTTTGTTTTTTTTCCTTATGGGACTGTGTAAAACCTGTGACAGTGGGACTGGGTGTCACAGATAGTTAAGATTCTCTTTGTTTATGTGGAACCCTTTCTACTATCTCTTTTCTGAAATGTCATTTTATAGATGATAGCTGAAAGTAGGAGGGGAATAAAGGATGTGAGCTTCATTTTCTCTCTTTTTTGTTTCCATAGCAACAGGAGCAAGACCCCACAAACTTATATATCTCAAACCTCCCACTGTCAATGGATGAGCAAGAACTGGAGGGGATGCTGAAGCCCTTTGGACAGGTTATCTCCACCCGAATTCTTCGAGACACCAGTGGAATCAGCAGAGGGGTTGGCTTTGCAAGGTGAGAGATGCGAAAGTGGAAAATGGTGAGGTTAATAAAGTGTCACTTGGGAAGGCACCAACATCACCCCACACACACACCCCAAGGGACCAAACTATTGGTCAAAAATACTTGACTGTAGGAGCTGAGGTTGTGGCCCAATGGCAGAGCTATCCCCTAGCACGTGCGAGTCCCTGAGTTCAATGCTCAGCACCACATAAAAATAAATAAATAAAATAAAGGTATTGTGTCCAACTACAACTAAAAAATAAGTATTAAAAAATACTTGACTGGGCTGGGGATGTGGCTCAAGTGGTAGCGTGCTCGCCTGGCATGCATGCAGCCCGGGTTCGATCCTCAGCACCACATACAAACAAAGATGTTGTGTCCGCCGAAAACTAAACAATAAATATTAAAATTCTCTCTCTCTCTCTCTCTCAAAAAAAAAATACTTGACTGTAAATCAGAAGTTTATTTATTTATTTGGTTCAGGGGATTGAACCCAGAAGTGCTTTACCACTGAGCTACACCCCTAGCGCTCTCTCTCTCTTTTTTTTAATTCAAGGCAGGGTCTTACTAAGTTGCTCATGACCAAACTAATTGCTGAGACTGGTCTTGAACCTGTGATCCTTCTGTCTCAGGCTCCTGAGTTGTACTGATTATGGGCATGTACCACCCCACCCAGCACTGGAGATTGATTTACATTAGTGATTTTCTTAAATTGTTCCTTAGAGCTGCAGAACTCTCCAGGGTGTCCACTTCTGGACTCAGGTGTCATTGTTGTGAGATTTCAGTCTCTCCCAGCCTACTTAACAAACTATTCTGCTTTTATTTATTCTAAGATTGTGTTTGATTAGAGATTCTCTTGACTTTTTTATTTGAAAGTTACTAGACTAAGTAATCTGAACACACTTTTTTATATAACAATGTCTTGCCTGACCTATGAACACTCCTCCGTCTTGGTTGAACACTCCCGGATTATTGCAGATCTGGGGACTAATGAATAGGTCCTCTTCCCTACCAGGCTCAATCCGGGCAGCTCCACCTGCTGGCAATCCCAGGTAAAACCACAGTGATTTCTAGGCTTGTCAACACTTTTTTTTTTTTCCCAGCTCCCATATTTTCTTCTTTGTGGGGTGGGGGCGCGGATTGAGTTCAGGGGCACTCTACCACAAAGCTACATACCCAGCCTTTTAAACATTTTTTAAAATTTTGAAGACAGGGTAATGCTAAATTTCCCAGGCTGGCTTTGAACTTACTGTTGAGTTGCTTGGTGTTATAGGCATGAGCCACTGCACCTGACAGGAAAATACTTTTATTTCACTCATATTTACTCTACTTACTCTAGTGATATGTGCCTGTTAGACACTGTACAAATTCTCAAACCGTGGAACCAGAATAGATAACCTCACCCTCATTTCCTGTCGCACACTGGCTTTCTTATGGTACTTGCTTTTGTCATAGGGACTATTGAAAACAGTTTTGCAAAATATGATTGTAGGGGAAAGTAATGTCAAAACAATGGCCTACTTTAAGTTAGTATTTTACACAACATCCAACAGATGTTGCTCTATTTTTCTTCAAGTGTGCCTTTTTTAGTTTCTCACAGTGGCCCAGGATGCATGAAAGCACAATCTGGGAATTGTGGCTTTGAAGACTAAAAAAACTATGAAGCTGGGTTCAGTGGCTCATGCCTATAATCCCAGTGGCTAATGAGGCTGAGGCAAGAGGATTACAAGTTCAAAGCCAGCCTTAGTAACTTAGAGAGGCCCTAAGCAACTTAGTGAGACCCTGTCTCTAAATGAAATATAAAAAAGGACTGAGGATATGGCTCAATGGTTAAGTTCCCCTGGGTTCAATCCCTGGTATCACAAAAACAAAACAAAACAATGAGAAAAAAAAAGAAACAATTATTAATTTTCTTCTATGTTTTTATGTTAACATCTACAATTTTTCTTCATACATTTAGATTCTTGCTAAGTGTAATTTCTGTATATCGACATTTTAAGTAAAACTCTTAGACAATTTTTAAATGTATCCAAATGAGATCTAAATATAATAATTTGTTACATAAAATGTCCCTTTAAAAATGTATGTGCCAGGGGCTGGGATGGTGGCTCAGTGGTAGAGCACTTGCCTAACGTTAGATGTGTAAAGCACTGGGTTCAATTCTCAGCACTACATATAAATAAATAAAATAAACATCTATTGCCAACTAAAAAATATTAAAAAAGAAAAATGTATGTGCCAGCTGTATACAGTGGGGCACACATATAATCCCAGTGGCTCTGGAGGCTGAGACAGGAGGGTTTCAAATTCAAAGCCAGCTTCAGAAATTTAGCAAGACTTTAAGCAACTTAGTGAGACTCTGTCTCAAAATAAAAATAAATAAAAGGGCTGGAGATATGTCTCCATAGTAAAGTGTCCTGGATTCAATCCCCAGTATCAAAAGTCAAACAAACAAACAATACTGTATGGACCAGGGCTAAGGATGTAGCTCAGTGGTAGAGTGCTTGCCTAGCATGCATGAGGCCCTGGTTTTGATCCCCAGCACTGCAAACAGCAACAAAAAATATATGGGCCATTTCTTTCTTAATAGTCATACACCTCATATTGTTCTTATAACATTCCTTTTATCTTCTTGATCTTGTGTTTGCATGTCATTTTCCTAGAGACTTGTATTTGAGTCTTTCTGTGGATCATCCTTGTTTCTTTTCAACAAAATGTGTGTGTTTGTGTGTGTGTGTGTGTGTGTGTGTGTGTGTGTATATATATATAAATTAAAATGTTTTTTCCTTGTGGCCATTAGGCTGGGTGTATTAACCCATGAGAGAATTATCTTTATAAATATTAGTCAACAGGCACACCATAAAACATAAATATATTAAAATGTTCATACAAAATTATTTTATATAAAGTAAACTTTGTTGAAAATTAATCTCCTATGACATGGATAAGTTTTATTTTCTTTAGATTTTTTTCTTATTAGATCATGTAGCCAGCAATGAATTTTGTTTGTTGCTATAACAAGTGAGGGCTTAACACCAGTTTTGTTCCTCTTTTTTGTTTTTATGCTGAGAAACCTTGTTCATATAAATGAGGAGATGAGAATGGAAGAGGCTTTGTTACAGTGAGAATTCTTTGGATTACTTCTGAATTGTATGCCAAGAACCAAAGTGATCTGTCATCAAAATTGATTTTTTTGTGCATTGACAAATTTCTAAAGTCTTCTAACTTTTTGGAAGCAAATAATTGGAAACGATCTGACTTATAAAAAGGATTTGAAATTTAGTCATTAATATCTGCTGTTGAGTTTTAGGCTGGATAAGAAGTAAATTAAGACAGTGGTTATGAGAAGGGACTTTAGCCTTGACTATTAGCAGTCATGAGTCCTCCTTCAGGCAGATCCCTGGAGGAAAGAGTTTTGAGGAAGTTGAGGTTCTAAGCACTCTGCCTACTCACGCTTTGGAAGGACTATAAGTAGAAGTTACTGAACTGAAGATCACTGCTCTAGAATATCTAACTGATTTTCTCTAAAAATGGTTTTCCCTGAAAGGTTCCATCTGAGGCCTTTTATTTACATTTTTGGTGCTGAAGATTTAATCCAGGGATATTTTACCACTGAACTATATCCTCAGCCCTTTTTAAATTAATGATTAATGTTTTTAGTGGTTATTGTCATAGAAAGTACTGACTTAATTTAAATGTGGTAGTAGGTGAAGAAACAATATATAGGCCCTTATAATTTTTAGAACACATCTATATACAATATATTATCTCAATCAATCTATACAGCACTGATTGACTTTGATTGTCTCTAAAGCACAATAAGGAATGGGTCCAGAGGGTTTTTTGGAATGTTCTGACAGAGTTCAGGGTGGTAAACTTGTGCTAATATCTAGATGTTCTTATCCCTTACTCAGTCCTCGTTGCCCAGAAAGAAACTTCAGCCTAGTAGTTCCCAGTATTCCTTCTCCTATTACTATGGACCATGAGCCCTTTATTAACAGATTCCTAAAATCTTAATAATGTCAACAGTAGCTAAGTGGGCCTCAATAGTTATAACCAGAAGCAAAAAATAAGTATTGCAAAATCTTAGCTTGTACAGTTTCCTTAATATAAAGAACAATGTTCATTAGGATTTTTTATTTTGGGGGGGTACCAGGGATTGAACTCAGGGGCACTCAACCACTGAGCCACATCCCCAGCCCAATTTTGTGTTTTACTAGAGACAGGGTCTCCCTGAATTGCTTAGCGCCTTGCCTTTGCTAAGGCTGGCTTTGATCTTGCAGTCCTCCTGCCTCGACCTCCTGAGCCACAGGGATTACAGGCACTTGCCATTGTGCCCAGCTTCCATTAGGATTTTATGATAAAAAATAATAAAGTCTAGCCAGATGTGGTGGCACCTGCCTTGGTGATAATCCCAAACCCTGTGACAAAATAAAAAAGCACTGTGGATATGTCTCAGAAGTAGAGTGCTCCTGAATCTCAAGGAAAAAAAAAAAAAGTTATGAACAGTGGTGCATGCCTCAGGTAGGAGGATCACAAGTTTGAGACCAGCCTGGGCAATTTAGCAAGACCCTGTCTCAAAAAGGACTTGGGCTGTAGCTCAGTGGTAAAGCACCCCTGTTTTAATCTCCAATACCAAAAAAGGGGGGGTTGGAGACATAACTTAGTGATGGTAGAGCCCTGAGTTCAATCCCCAGTACTGCTAAAAATTAAAAATAGTAATTTAACAGCTACTATTTCTTATATTCTTATTTTGGTGCCAGACACAATAATAGGCTCATTTGTCAGTATCGTTTTTTTGGTTTTTTTTTAGCAGTGCTTGGGATCAAATCCAGGTCCTTGTTCGTGCTAGGCAAGCACTCTATCACTGACTGAGCCCCATTCCAATCCCAATTAGAGTCTTTTTTGGAATATTAATAGCTTGAAGACCTCCACTATTTTAGGATTCCTTGCAGGAGATGGTTGAGAGGATCTTCCTTAGATGTTGCATAAGCTGCAGAAACTCTTATGTTTTTATAGTCGTAACTTTTGAACTTTTGGGAAACTTAGGGCATTCTCTTTGAATGTGTAGAGAGCACAGATCTTGGAGAAGCTAGAGCCTAACCCCTCTTGTGCTTCTTAGGATGGAGTCCACAGAGAAGTGTGAAGCTATCATCACCCACTTTAATGGAAAATATATTAAGACTCCCCCTGGAGTACCAGGTGAGGCATCTGGGAATCAGGTTGAGAGCCAAATGTTGTTCCTTCCAGTTAAGATTCTGGAGGAGTTTTGCATGAGTATGTCTGCTCATTGAGGTGAGACTCAGCTGCCTGTCTGCTTTCTGTTTTGCCAGCCCCGTCTGATCCCTTGCTTTGTAAATTTGCTGACGGTGGGCCAAAGAAACGACAGAACCAAGGAAAATTTGTGCAAAATGGACGGGCCTGGCCAAGGAGTGGAGACATGGTAAGAGGTCCCTGAAAACAGGTTTACTAAGGACATTAAAGTGGAATGGAAATTACTATAGTTTAATTTCTGTGAGCTTAGGTGGCCAGCTTGAGAGCTCTAGGGTGTAAATGAGAAATGCTGATGGCTTAACAAAATCTCAAGTGTGGGTCTTGAGTGAGTGGGGTTCTGCAGCCTTTACAGTTGGAACAACTCAGCAGTTGTAGTGGGACTTGTCCAGAATTTAATTAGTTGAACTTTTTAAAAACATCCGCAGCCTTGGCATTCTGGTTTTGTTCCTGTTCTTACCCAAAGGTTCACAGTATGAATTCTGTGTTCTTTCCTTATAGGGTGGTATGGCCTTGACTTATGACCCCACCACAGCTCTTCAGAATGGGTAAGTGTCTTTTACATAATGGAGCCACCTGAAAATGACCCTGGCCTGTGGATATTTCATCTTGATTTTCAAATAGCAATTAGTGGGAAGTGGCTGTGCTTTCATCAGTGGACCTTGGGGTTTCCTGTGACTTTTTACTGAGTAAGGTTCCTTCCTACAGGTTTTACCCAGCCCCTTATAACATCACCCCCAACAGGATGCTGGCTCAGTCTGCACTCTCCCCATATCTTTCATCTCCTGTGTCGTCTTATCAGGTACGTTCACTCCCAAAAAAATGGAGTGGTGATTTTCCCTACCATGTGTTTTAGGTGAAGGAATGTAAGGTGAGAAATGAGAAATAACTTGTTTTTTTCTTTCTATAAACTACATAAAAATAATGTTACATAAAAGTATAAACTGATCTGTGTGTGTGTGTGTGTGTGTGTGTAAACAGCATTTATGTCTGTGTGAACACACCGTTTAGAGGCATCCTCTTACTCTTTTCACCACCGCCACAAGTAAACCCTTGTTGATTTCCTTTTGTATAGCATTTCCCATATTTTTCTTCATGCGAACATACACATATGTGTAGGGTTTGGGGAGTTGTGTATTTTATTAAAAATCAGACCATATTAAATATATTTTTATTTTATATTTTTCTCACCTAATATGTTAGACAAATGATTCTCAAAGTGTGGTCCCTGTCCCTGCACTTTTGGCATTACCTGGGAACTTATAGAAATATGAATTTTTGAACTCTACTCCAGATCTACAGAATTAGAAACTCTGAGAATAAGGCCCAACAAAAATGTGGATTTTTTTTTTTTTTATTTTAAAGAGAGAGTGAGATAGAGGAGAGAGGAGAGAGAGAGAATTTTTAGTATTTATTTATTTTTTAGTTCTCGGCGGACACAACATCTTTGTTGGTATGTGGTGCTGAGGATCGAACCCGGGCCGCACGCATGCCAGGCGAGCGCGCTACCGCTTGAGCCACATCCCCAGCCCCCAAAAAATGTGGATTTTAACAAGCCTTCCAGATGATTCTACTGTAGTTGACGTTGAGATCCTTTGCTCTAATTATTTCTTTTTAAATGATTGCCTTATATTTCATCCCAGAATTCTTCTACTCTATCCCAGTGAAGGATATTAATTTACATTCAGTTTTGCTGCTACAAATAATGCTTTGGAAGCAGTCTTGTACCTGTATTCCTCTGGGTGCATTCATTTCTGGGAGCTAGAGTCTCAGGAAAGCACTTGCTAGGTTGAACAGTGTATGGATTTTCAGATTTATCCAGGTTGCCAGATTGCTTTCTACAAAAGCTGTGTCAATTCAGGTTTCTATCAGCAATGTTTCCATCACCATTTTTCTCTAACCATAGCTATCTGCTTTGGAAAAGTGTTTCTTGTATTGATGAGTGCAGAATACATTGTTACTTTAATTTTCATTTCTTTGACTGCAAGTGAATTTTTTGCTTGTCATATTTTGATTTGCCCTTCTCTGATTGCTGTTCTTCTGTTTTGCGCATTTTTCTATTTGGTTATTTGTCTTTTCCCCATCAATTTATACAAACTCTTGATTTAAATATTCTCAGAATGTTACCTTAGTTAAAAATATTTTTTTCCGAGCTTATTCTTTCTCTGTTGATTTTGTGGCCCTAAGACTTTAACTGTGTTCTCTGGGTCATTTAGAGAACTCTCTAAAACCTAGGCACCAGACTCAGAGTTTTCTGTTCTGTCAATCTAGCAGGGAAGGAAAGAACATGCATTTCTAACAAGTCCCCAGGTGATTCTCCTGCTGCTCCTACTGTTGGATGGTTCATGGACCATACTGTGGGAATCATTAGTTTTTGCCATATGAAAGTTTTTAAGTTTGCCTATTATTAAACATCTCTGGCCGGGCATGGTGATACACACATGGTAATCCCAGCGACTCAGAAGGCTGAGACAGGAGGAGCACAAATTCAAGACTACCTCAGCAATGTAGGCCCTAACAAATAGCAAGACCCTATCTCAAAATAAAAAAAGGTTAGGGATTGGGCTCAGTGATTAAGCACCCCTGGGTTCAATTCCCTGAACCAAAAACCAAACAAACAAAAAACCCTCTGTGTTATTATTATTATCATTATTTTAGCACTGTAGATTGAACCCAGGATACTTTACCACTGAGCTACATCCCCAGCCCTTTTTATTTTGAGGCAGAGTCTTCCTAAGATGCTTAGGGCCTCACTAAATTGCTGAGGCTGGACTTAAGCTTGCCTCAGCCTTCTAAATTGCTGGGATTACAGGCATGTGCCATTATGCCTGCTCTCTCTCTTTTATAGCTTTTAAATTTCGTGTCTTAATTTAAAAAGTATTAGCTGGGTGCAGTGGCATGCTTTTATAGTACACTATATTGTATGTGTGATCTCCAGGATTTTATTTTATTGTTTTACACTTAATGTGTAATCATGGGGCTGGGGTTGTGGCTCAGTGGTAGAGCGCTTACCCGGCAGGAGTTAGGCACTGGGTTCGATTCCTGGCACCACATAAAAATAAAAACAAATAAAATAAAGGTATTATATGTCCATCTAATCTAAAAAAAAGAAATATTTTTTTAAAAAAGTTTAATAATCAGGAACTTATTTTTGTGTATGGTACAAGATATGAGTCCTTTTATATTTTTCTCCAGAATTTTAATTTAGTCCCAGCACCAAATTATTAAATAATGTATCCTTTTCCTGTTGAATTAAAATGCCCTGGCAACCTATAATATTCATTCTTTTTGTGTATGTGTATGTGGTACTGGAGTTGAATCCAGGAGTGCTCTACCACTGAGCTACATCCCCAGTCCTTTTTATTTTAATTAATTAATTAATTATTTTTTTTGAGACAAGGTTTTACTAAATTGCCAAGACTGGCCTTGAACTTGAGCTCCTGCTTCAACCTCTCTAGTCACTGAGATCATAGGCATGCACCATGGCACCTGGCTATAAAACATTTTCTGTGTCTGTAGAATTGCCTGTGCTGAACACTTCATACAAATGAAGTCATCTGTTGTGTTTGGTGTTTCTTTCACTTAGCATGTTTTTACGTTTCATCCATGTTTTAACATGCATCAATATCTCATTCATTTTTTGGCTGAAAAATATTTCATTGCATGGATATACCACATCTTGTTTATCCATTTATCATTTATCAGTCGATGGCCATTTGAAGTATTTCTAGCTAGTATGAATAATATTGCTATGAACATTCCTAGATAGATTTTTTAGGGGGTACATATGTTTTCATTTCACTTGGGCATGAACCTGGGAGTAGAATTGCTGAGCTACATAGTATCCCTATGTTTAACTTTTTTAGGAACTGCTGAAGTATTTTCCTAAGTGATTGCATCATTTTATATTTCAACATCCATGTAAAACACTTATCTTTTTAATTAGAGCCATTCTCCTGGGTTTGTGTGGTGGTGCACCATTGTGTTTTTTATTTGCTTTTGCACCTCTTTCATGTGCTTACTATCATTTGTGCACCTTCTATTGCGTATGTCTTTCCAAATCCTTTGCCATTTTTGTTTTGTTTTGTTTTTTGGTACCAGGGATTGAACTCAGGGGCACTTGACCACTGAGCCACATCCCCAGCCCTATTTTTGTATTTTATTTAGAGACAGGATCTCATTAAGTTGCTTTAGTGTGTCACCCTTGCTGAGGCTGGCTTTGAACTCTTGATCCTCCTATCTCAGCTTCCTGAGCCGCTGGGATCCCAGGTGTGCACCACCACATCCAGCTCTTTTGCCAATTTTTAATCAGGCTATTTATTGAATAGTTATGAGTTATTAATATTTTTAAAACAGCTTTTATTAATGTTTCTATGCTCTGAGGGGGACATTTTTGGGGAACTTTGCTAAACATTATCAGATCATTGATAATTATTATCAGATCATTGAACAATAGTTTCTAGGCAGTTAACATTTCTGTTTGTTTTTGCTTACATCAGAGAGTGACTCAGACATCTCCTCTACAATTACCTAACCCATCTTGGATGCACCACCAGTCATACCTCATGCAGCCTTCAGTGAGTGTTCAGAAGTGGGCAGAAGCAAAAGAGGCAATTTGATGTAAAGAAAAGCAAAGGGCTTTGATGACAGGAGATGTGGGTGTGAGTTCTGGCTCAGTACCTTGTGCAGCCCTTAAATTCTCTGAGTGTTGTTCTTAGATAAGTGTCCCTCCAGACTGATGGGCAGAGTGCCTTTTCCTGTTATATGGCTTGGTTGCTGCTCACTATGGCTTTTAATTCCCAGTATTTAAAAATATCTGTCTTCAGCAGTCCCTTCATTATTACTGCCTTGGGTAACCTCACAGGATGCTGCCAACTAACTCTTTTCCTTTGTTGTTGCCTCCAGGGTTCAGTTCTGACACCAGGGATGGATCACCCCATTTCTCTTCAGCCTGCCTCCATGATGGGGCCTCTTACCCAGCAACTGGGCCACCTCTCGCTCAGCACCACAGGCACGGTAAAGCCGGGTATTTCTGCTTATTAACTCCTGCAAGGAGAACCTGTGCAGTATTCTTCAGCATAGATACTTATGAATGATAGAGTCACTTCAGTGTCATTGAGGGTGCACTCAGAATTGGAAATAAACTACAAAAATAATGATGCATAAGCCAGGAATGCAGTCATTTTGCTCCCCAGACTACCCCTTTTAACTGCTTCCTTGTTACAAAACTAAAATGTTTCTATGTGTGTATTAATTTAAGAGTTAAGACACATTTCCTAGAAATCCTTATCAAAATAGTAACAGAAAGAGCAGATGAAGCACCTTGGGTTTTCTGGGACTTGATGCACAGCAGGGCTAAAGGGCAGGGAATGCAGTGTGCTGGGGAAACAGAAGTAGGCAGTTGGGACAGAGGAGTGGAAGAAAGAAGGTCAAATTGGTGGAAGTGTGTCTAAGCCACTACCAGAGTGCCTACAAGAAGCCAGGCCCAGACCAACTGAATTGACTCTTTGGAGATAGAACACAGGCCTCAATATCTTAAAAAATCCCCCGGGTGCTTTATCTTTTAATTTTATTTATATGCAGTGCTGAGGACCGAACCCAGGGCCTCACATGTGCCAGGCAAGCCGCTCTACCACTGAGCCACAACTCCAGCCCTGTCCCCAGGTGCTTTAAATGTAACAAGAATCATTGCTCTAGCTGGTTGATGTTTTTCTTCTAGTATATGCCAACGGCTGCAGCTATGCAAGGAGCTTACATCTCACAGTACACCCCTGTGCCTTCTTCCAATGTTTCAGTTGAGGTAAGAGTACACCCCTGTGCCTTCTTCCAATGTTTCAGTTGAGGTAAGAGTTACTTTTTTGGAGTGAAGATAGGACAATGACAGAGACAGATCTTCCCCTGTCAATTGTTCCTTTCACAATGATGCTGTTTCTGTGTTCACAAGTAACTGGTAGCTATATGAAGAGTGCAAGAAGAAAAGACTTAGTGTGTGTTCATGAGTGAGGCCCTTGGGCCAGCTGGTAGTTAATACCAGGATGCTCCCTTGAATTGACTAGTGTGCATTGGGAGGAAGGCAGGCTGTTTTGAACATAGAAGAACTTCTGAAGTTTTTTCCAAAGTGCCTGTTGTGTTTTACATTCCTTTCAGTGCTGAGGTGGTGTGTGTTGTGAATGGGTGGTCTGGAGAGGCCTTTCAGCTTTGGGTGGGTTTTATCTAGACTGGTTTGGAGGGAGCTGAGGAAAAGAACACATAAGATGACTCTCCTTCCTGGCTATGTTACAGGAGAACAGCAGCCAACAGAATCAAGTGGCAGTGGATACGCCCTCAGACCATGGGGTCTATTCTTTCCAGTTCAGCAAGTAACACTGGGTAAGAACCACATGTTGGGGAAGTGGGTGTCCCAAACTAAGAGAGAGCAGCTCAGCCCTGCCTAAAGTGAGACAGGTTCTTGTGCTTGTCTTGCTCCCTCCCTACCCTCTCCCTTGGGATTTCCCTCCCCATCTTAAATAGAAAAGAGTTCTTGGACATGCTCCCAGACTCCAGAGGGTTAGCCAGGTTATGTACCATCTGTAGCTCTGTTAAGCACTAACACTTGGCCATTGTTTTCATAGACCTGGGCCTGAGAAAAGAAATCTCTATGCTCCTGCCCTGTCCTCTTTCTCCATTGCTGATGGAACATGGGGAAATCAGCACATTTTGTGTGTACTACCTTCGAGGAGAAACACACACATGCACACACGGAGACACACACATTTTTTTCTTTTGCAAAGAAAATTTTTTCTTATTAAAATTTTTTTAATTGTAATGTACTTTTCTCCTACCTCAAAGAGACATGTGGCTGGAGCTTTTGCTCATATATATGAAAAACAGTTTGTTGTCATTTTGGTTTGGTTTTTTGATATTGGGAATTGAACTGAGGGGTGTTTAACCATTAAACCACATTCCCAGCCCTTTTGTATTTTCCTTTTTTTTTTTTTTGCTTTGTTTTTTTGAGTTGGGGTCTCACTATGTCACCCAGACTGGCCTCTTAATTTTTTTTTTTTTTTCCCAGATCCAGGGACTAAACTCAGGGCCTTGCATGTGCTAGGCAAGTGCTCCGCCACTGAGCTAACTCCCCAACCTTCTTCTTTCTTTTTTTCTTTGTTGAGACAGGGTATCGCTGTCTCAAAATTCTGAGTCTTAGGGCTTTAGGCTTATTGCTAAGGCTGGCTTTGAACTTGGATCTTTCTGCTTCATCCTCTGGAGTTGCTGGGATTACCGGCATGCTTTAGCATGTACAGCATGTTTTGTTATTCTTAAAAAAACAACAACAAAAAAAACAAACAATAAGCTGGGCACAGGACACATGCCTGTAATCCCAGCTACTTGGAAGACTGAGGGAGGAGAATTATAAGTTTGAAGCCAGCCTGAAGAATTTAGCAAGACCTTATATCAAAATTAAAAATAAAAGGGCTGGGGATTGCAGCCCAGTGGTAGAAAAGAGTCTCAAGGGAGGTGCTTTTACCCCCAGAGACCACTGCAGTTATCTGATGACGTTTTGATCCCTGGGTTCAATCCCCAGTACACAAAAACAAAACAAATAAAATTACCTATGAAGATGCAGTGCTAGGGGCTGGGGCTGGGGCTCAGCTGTAGAGTGCTCACCTAGCATGCCTGAGGCACTGGGTTCCATCCTTAGCACCACATACAAATAAAGAAATAAAAACATTGTATCCATCTACAACTAAAAAAAAAAAAAAGATGCAGTGCTAGAACATTGATAGAGGAAATCCTAGTTGCTGGTTCCGTTATGATCTTTTTTTGATATATGTCTATGTGTTTAAGAAAATATATAGACTTTAAAAATTTGGTTCTTGTAGAGCTATCAGTTCACATACCCCTCTTCACATGTTTTTTTGCTTTCTTTTACTCATTCAGATTATTCTTTTTCTCTTTTCCATACAGCTAACCCTGCCTACTTTGTCTTTTTATATTTTTAAATTTTATAAATATCCTTTTTAAATGAAATTTTATATGGAATTTTGGAGGCTGAGCAAGAAATAGACGTGGCTTTTTTCCTGACCCTGCCACATCCTGGGAGAAGAGACTAGACTTTGCCTTCAGGAAGCAGAAATGTGACCTAAATTCATTTGAGAGATGACCCACAGCTTTGGGATTTACTCGTGAAGCAAATTTGGTTGAAGACTAGGTCTCGCAGTCTCTGGAAGGATGGACTGACTGACTTCTGACTAGCTCTTCTCACTGCAGAGCCTGTCACCCTCTGAGGAAGGTGTCTTTTCCGGAGGCTCCAGATTTTTCAGAATGCCTGCCATCCTGCCTCCTGGTGGATCTTTTCTGCCCAGGTTACATGGCCTCTCTTTCTGCTGCACATTGCTGTGCTCCAGGCCTTTATAGCTGTGACCTTGCTGCAGAGCAGTGTGTCTCAAGGGAGGTGCTTTTACCCCCCAGAGACCATTGCAGTTATCTGATGACATTTTTTATTGCTATGCCTGGGAGTGGGAGTGTATGTGTTATTTGCATCTAGTTGCTAGAGACCAAGGATGCCACTAAACATCCTACAGTGCAAAGGAGAGCCCCACTATGCCCAACAAAGAATTATCTATTTCAAAATATCAATAGGGCCAAGACTGAGAAACCTGGATGTTGGCAGTGTTTTCCTGACTTCTCGGTTGAGGTAAATTCCCACCCAGTCCTGGACACACAGTGCCCTTTAACGCTCATGCAACTGGTTTGGATGGATGGAATTGGTATTCTTGAATTCTCCCTGGACTCCAACCTTTGACACTTCTGCATGTAACAAGAGCTGTCCTTGTAAGGCTCATGGCTCTTGTGCACATGCTAAATACACAGACACACACTTGGAGGGAGGAAGGTACGGATTGTTCTGTGGATGCTATGCAGGGATGGGAAAGGAGTTTTATGTGACCGTAGAGTGCTCTGCCCTTCCCTACTTTGTTTAGACCCCTTCCCTAGGGAGCCAGAATATTGGGAATAATTTTCCCTCTTGTTGAAGGACCACAAAGAGCTAGGGTAGAAAAATGAAGTACATCCCATCTCATGATTTATAAGGTCAGATCTTTATAAATAAAGACTCTAGCTCTGTCAGATGCAGTGGCACAGGCCTGTTATCCTAGTGACTAGAGAGGTGTAACTTAGCAAGATCTTGTCTCAAAGTGAAAAATAAAAAGGACCAAAGATGTATGTAATTCAGTGGTAAAGCACCTCCAGGTTTAATCCCTGGTACCACAAAACAAACAAACAAAAACAACTTATTTTTCTCACATCGAGATAAGCAGGAAAAAGCCTTTCTTTGCCCATCTTCTGGAAAATAAGATCCTACTTCTGTCTTCTTCCAGTCACTCTCTCATGTATCAAAAGGAGAACTCTATTCCCCTTTACTCAGAGACCAGGAGGCATCTGCACCAGACAAAGCAAATAATGGAGATGGATAAATAAGTGTTCATGGGCTGGTGTGGAGAAAAAGAGAGGATGAAAGCTGGAAGAGAAAATGAGATGTCAGTGGCTGCACATAGAGCTAGGCCCAGCTTTCCCTTCTTTCCCTTTTGCCCCATGATTGAGGTCTTCCCTGCCATCAGTCTTTGTACATCCTGGGGATAAAGGAGTTGGGGGCAGTGGGTAGGAATACAAAGTGTAAAGAACAAAATTGCCTCTGTTTTCTCATTGGTGCTTTCAACCCCAGGAAAGTCTTATCCAGCACAAAAGCTCCAAGTCCATTAACCCTCCAGGAGGGTTTGGCTTAGCAGATGGTGCTTGCTTTGTCTCTAACCTTCAGTAAAGTGAAATATTCCAGAGCTGCTATCTCATCAGTGACCTTTCAGAAAAAAGAGAAAACAGCCGGGTGTGGTGGTGCACACCTGTAATCCCAGCATCTTGGGAAGCTGAGGCAGGATGATCCCAAGTTCAAAGCCAGCCTCAGAAATTTTTCCAGGCCCCAAGCAACTTAGTGAGACCCTGTCTCAAAACATAAAAAGGGGTGGGGATATGGCTCAGTGATTAAGTACTGCGTTCAATACCTGGTACTGGGTGAAAAAATCCAGAGTTCTGTTTATTTAACTGATGGTAGATTGGGGAAGTCTTGCTTTGGTAGGTTTAATGTTTGGGGCTGCCTTTCCTGCATAGGAACTGGTGTTGCTGTCTCTGCTGACCTTCCTGTCTCCCAAAATCCCTGATTCTGTCTCCTTTCTCTGTATTTTCTAAATTTTTTAAATGGCTGTGATTTTTACTTTGTTTTAAAATATTGAAGTTACCTTTTTTGGTTCTCCTTATATGAACCTACCATTGAGAGAGCGCTTCTGGTTTGGGCAGGTTTGAGGACAGGAAGTAATTGGGAGCCTGCAGTTATTTTTGTAGTGGTTAATGGCACTGAGGAATTTCTTTTTGGTGCTTTTGATTTATACTCCTATTTTCCCCACTAGTTGTTAGTTCATTTCTAACCGTGGGTAGTAATTGGAGAAAGGATGGAATAGGAACTATTTCTCCCATGAATTGGTGAAGATTGGTTAGGGTGGGCATCGGGTAGAGGAGCCAGTCTTGGACTGCGCTCTTTAAACACTATGCCTAGTGTTTTCTGAATCCTGTCTTCCTGGAAGCCACATCTTACACTCTCTGTACTTTCATCTCACCCCCACTCATTACAGATGCTCATAACATTCTTAAAATATTTTAGTACTTTGTGCTTTTCTGTTTTCAGTCAAATAGAACTTATGAGTTCTTTCCTCAGATGGTATAATCCTTTACTAGGCTCTAGGCCTACCTATCCCATTTCATGTCAGTGTTATTGCTCTTTTCAGGCTCTGAGTTGATATCCTAACCCTAGACTGTTTGGACTCTTTGGAGGAGGGTGCAGGTAGAGGTTAGGAAGGTGTGGGAATGATAATGGATAGGGATGTTATTTTTAGTGTTTTCAACCGAAGAGGTTAAAGCCTGGTGGCTCTAAAGAGGTTATAGCCCTTGTTAGTAACAGAGGTATTATTTGCACTAAGGATGAGGACAAGACCTGCTGCACAGGCCATTCCTAGTTGTGCCACTTCAGCCTCATTTCATTCCTCTTCCTTTTCTAATTTGCTTAACAGTGAGCTCATTCATCCCCCCTAATGCCTCCAGTGTCACCAGGCTCTCCTTGCTATTCCAATATGTCAACCCACTGGGGCTGAGACCTACCTATGGGATTTTACTTTGCCATAAAGATGCTGTGAGTGATCTCAGTGGAATGTTGCAGGGATCCCTGACATTGACAATTATTGGTCTTCTGGAAAAGAAACTATTGCTGCTTAGGCACATGCCCCACCTTCTGGGAAGTAGCAGCATTGCACACATTGAGGGGCTACTTTGCCTTGTTAGCCAAGAAGTTGGGGATATGATCAGGTCCCAACCTGCCCCTATCCTCTGCTAGACCTGGATCTGTGGACTTCAAAGAGGGTGGGGGTTACTAAAGCCAGCCTATAGATCCTAGATCTTGTGCCTTGTTATACCAGTTCTTCCTGATTTCCTTTTAAACCAACCACTCCACTTCCATGTGACCCATTTTTTAGGGCTTCCCAAGCATTAGCAGATTCCTGAAGTTTGCTCAGCTTTTACCCTTTCCTTCTATTAGACAGTCTTCCTCTGTGGCTAAAACCAGCCTATAGTGCTCTCTCCCCTGATCTTTGCTGAACCTCCCTATAGGTGTTCCTCATGTTTGAAATGAGAAAACTAGGTGCTCTCAACACTCTAGTTACCACTGCTTTCTCCCTGGCCTGTCCACTTGTTTTGAATAAGCATTCATTATCCAAGTAGATGCCCAAACTTCCTTGTCCTTGTTACTCATCTACCTCAAAATCTCTCAATTAAACAAGGGCACAAGCACCTGACTTACATCTTTTCCTGTTGTTCTCTTCATGAGGGTTAGGAAACTGGGGACTAGAAAGGACTCATGAACAAATTCAGTCTTTGGTTTTTCTACTTCTGGAATGTCTTCTCTGGGGGTTTTAGCTCACTAATCAAACTTTTTAGGTAGGTCTCAATGTGGCACCACCTAAGGTGACAACAGATTGTTGGGAGTTACCCCAGGACCACCATTAGAACAGAGCTTAGAACTATAAAATTAATTATTGGCTGCCTCACCGCAGAGAAGGTAACCAAACACCAAAGAGTTTTATAGGACTGGAAATAGATGTTCCTTTTTCACCTTAACAGTTATCTTTCTTAGAGGGTTCAGGAGAAAAAAATGCCCAAACTAAAGGGTTACCTAGTTAAGACTTTTACAGCTGGAGTAAATAAAAGTTCCTACTCCATCACTGGTGTCCCAATTTCCCCAACACATACCCTTTTTGGATGGATGAATACTTACTACATGCACTTATCACCTTGAAATAAGTTTAATTTATACTTAAAACACATTTTGTACTATTTTTCCTTTATCCAGAGACTTCTAGTTTTATATTCTTTCCATGTTATGCCAATGCCACCCTTTTAGCTTATTCTTTTCTGACCCCTGGTCTTCCCATGTTGCTTCCTTACAGTTTGGTAGAGATTCATTTTGTCAACATTTTTAATAAAACAAAAAAAATCTGTTTTGGTGTCTTATCCATGGGTGGGAGGGTATGCTGCTACAGGAAATAAGTGGCAGCTTAGGAAGGTAAGGCATGCATCTTGAAGTGGGAACAGGGCATGTGGAAACTCATTTACCCCAGTGCCTCAGTTAAGATTCTGAGGCAGATCTACTGAAGCAGAAGGTATGAAACAGGATTCCTGTTGCTTAGGGGTTAGTGATAAATCTGCATCTTATATACCAAACCAGTCATGCCCATCCTAATACACATTCTCTCCCCAATATATGTGTCAGAACATGATGAAGGGCCCAGACTAAAGGGAAGAGAAATACACAGAGCCTTTTGAATCTATCAAATGTGGTTTTTATTCAACTGACAAGCACTTTTCTACAGCTGCACTTGTGGAACATCACATGGCAAAAACAGATTTTTTCTCTAGACTTTTTTTTTCCTTTTTAAACCTTATTAAAAATGAGATTGGTCCTAAAAATATAGAAAGAAATAAATTTAAATTCACAAAAAACTGTACATTATCAAAAAGTCACTAAAACACCACATTTGGTTATATAAAAAGTCAGTCCCTTTTGTTGTAAAAGGAACATGGAAACTTGGTGAAGATGGTGTGGTTTCTTGCTGTTACCAGACTGATAGGGGAGGGGAAACAAAGGGGCAGGGGGGTGGGTTGTCTTTTTATTTTAACCTGCCTTCCCTACCAAATACTCTTGACCATAGAGAAAATCCACCTAGCTCAAGGGGCAGTGAAGATGAGGAAAGAAAAGTAAGAAATGGCCCCTTTGATCACACCCTATCCCCATCCCTCCTTCAGCCCCTATTTTTCAAACTATTCTCGGACCCCACCCCATCTTAAGAGTGCCTGGTCCCTAGGAAAAGAGATGGAACTGGGAGAGGAACACAAGCAAGAACAAATGAGACTTCACTCCCCCTATCCACCTCACCTCCAATGAAATTAATCTAGTATTTTATGCCAGGGGAAAACTGCCATGGGAAAAAAGGAGCCCCCAACTATAACAGTTCCAAATGTCTAACACAAAGTTTGTTACAGCGCAGTTATTTAGATAAAATATAAATATTTATGCATAATATAAAGTCAATTCAAATATTCTTCAATCCACCTCTTATTTAAAAGCAAAAAAAAATCTCAAATAAAATTAAATTTTGAGGTTTATCTGACAGAAAAGGCGACTTTAGAAATAGGCTATGGGGGAGAAGGGAAGTTAAAGGAATAAGAAAGGGGCTGCCCTAGGACCTACACTGCCCCCCACCCCCATCAGTGGCTCTTCAGTGCTGCCAGAAGTACAAGGAATGCTCCACTTCACCTGGCACCTTCCACCCAATGGAACATTTCTTGGATGCCTCAGCTCTCTGCTTAGGCCAGCCAGCAGCCACCTCCCCAGTGCAAGTACCCGTAATCTCTGATGGGAGGGGCTCTGCTGAGCAGGAAAGCAGGGGGCCAGAGGCCCATGGCTATAGCTTGGAGTTAGCAGCTTTCCTCTCACATGTTGGGGGCTTAACTTAGGCATAGTCACATGAAGGGCAGTGGTGGACCCAGAACCCCTCCTGTGCTCCAGGGTCTCTGCTGCTGGGGAAGGGGTCCTGGGGGATGAAGTAGATGAAGGAAAGCACAACTAAACCCACAGATGCTCATGGGATTAGAAAAGATCCAGTTCTACCACCCTTCCTGTAAAAGCTTAAGACCTGAAGCTACTGAGAGGAGAGGGAGTTCCTGCCGAAAGATTGCACAGTTTGAAGAGGCTGGAACAGAAATGACCAGGAGAGAGAGAGAGAGAGACAGCCATGTCCCCAGAGAAATTGTTCCTGTGGTTACCCAAGGACAAAAAGGTGATGGTATGAAACAATGGGCAAGGTGGGAATAAAAACAGATACTTGGGGAAATTGGATCCCATCAGACAAAACAGGGTCACAATCATAGCTCGCATGTAAGCATTCACTCTCACGCACACATTCACACAAAACACCTCTCTCCCCCTCTCTCTGAGGCCAGCCAATTGCTACCTGGCCTCCATCTTGGAGGTGCACCCAAACTCAGCAGTAGTTGTCCCTGAGGAGTTCCCAAGAGGGAGGTTTGGGAAGCAGATGGATGGGGAAGTTGGCTGGAAGGCCCAGGGTGCCTACCTGCCCTCTCCCCAACCACTGAGTTTCAGAAAAGGCTGGAAACTCAGCATATGAGGAGCATCCAACATTTTAGAAGGGATAGCTATTGGCAGGAAGATGAGGACAGAGAAAGACAGGGACCTCTGAACTTTTTTTTTCCTTTGGGGGGGGGGGAAGATTTGGGACAAAAGGAGGGAGGAACCCGTACACGATAGTTTTACATTATTGGATGAGAAAAATCTGGAAAAATGTGAGGGGAAAGAAAAAGTTGAGAGAAAGAAGCAGGGAAGGGACTGAACATGGAAGCAGCATGTTCAGGGCCCGGTGTCCGGCTCGACACACTTGGGAGTTAAGTCCACTTTACTGGCCGTCACTGCGGGTCCGCACACAGTACAGAGTGTTTCTCAGTTTCACACATTCACTAGAACTATTGCTATTGTTAAATAACCCCAGAATGCTGGGGCATGTACAGGGAAGGAGAGGAAGCTCGGAGAAGGAAGTAAGGACTTCTTTCCCTCTCCCCATATTTAATTAGGAAATAAAACAGAAAGGAAAATTATTTTCTTCTTTCTTTTTTGGCTTTCAGTCCAGAAGAACCTCATCTCTGCACCTCTTATTAGAGGAGCAAGAGGAGGAAGGGAGAAAAAGACTAGGGATATGAGGATGTGGTTTGCTGCCAAGGGCAGGGTCAAAAATCAGGGTTATATCTGACTTGAGTCTGGACCCAGGGCAGCATCAGCAGGTGAGAATGGCAGGTTTTTTTTGTTTGGAAAGTGGGGGGGAAATGCCACAAGGTGACTCCCAACCTCCCTTGCCTCACAGATTGGCCTGTTTGCCCTGATAAAATTCTTCCCAGCGGCTCTCGAAGAAGCGGCGCATGATGTGCCCAGCCTTGCCCACTTCAGAGTCATCCTCATTGAAGGTTTGGCAGTTGTCAAAGACCAAGAGGGCATCAGCTGCAAACTCCTCTGAGCTGGTATACCTGGCAGGGACAGAGGTGTAAGCTGAGTAAGAGTTGCAGAGTAAGGAAAAGCTAGGGGAGCTGCCAATGTCTACTTACCCTCCTCTGAGCAGGCGCTCCCGCATGGTAGAAAAATCCATTGGGTTCTTGATGATGCGTCGGTACCCACTCACCAAACGTGGGTTCACAGGCTCCAGGAAAGGCCAGGCTGCATCATGGGACTCCATCTCCATCAGGATAATCCTATCAGTTCAGGGACAGTGATGGTTCTATATCCAGAAGTGGACATACACTGACCCCTTCCAGCCCTCTCCTCTGGCCCAGAAATCCCTCAACTCACTCGCAAAATGTGAGATCACTGTGATGGTTCCGCATTGAGAGTCTCCGCCGCTTAGAGGGAGACAGTCCTTCTTCTGAGTACCGAGGCATTGCTGGGCTTTCTCGGCCCCTCGACAATACCCGGCGTCGGCGGCTATCACCTTCTGGGAAGTTAAGTGAATAACTACTTTTCCGCTTCTGGCCTCGCTTTGGGAAACCAGGCTTCTGAGTGAATTCTTCCTCTACTTGCTGAGGACAGAAAAAGGTGAGATGATCAATGGATAGGGGTACACTCCACTTGTCCTCCAGTTCATTAAGATCCCTACCTAAGTGTGACTGAAGCTTCAAAATACATAAGCCAGGATACAAACTTACTCACATAACCCAGTAAGCAGGGGTAAAAGTTATAATTACTCCTATTTTATAGAGTAAGAGTCAATAGAATTTAATAAGGATTAGAACCCAGGTCTCCTAACACCCTGTCAGGGAGCTCATTTCAAGGAAAGCCTCAGGGCAAATAAGGATTGGTAGTAAATGGGATAAATAAGAAAATCTCAGCCAGGCATGGTGGTGCACACCTGTAATCTCTGGCTCAGGAGGCTGTAGGCAGGAGGATTGCAAGTTCAAAGCCAGCCTCAGCAAATTAGCAAGGCCCTAAGCAACTCAGTGAGACCCTGTCTGTCTCTAAATAAAATATAAAACAGGGTTTGGGATCTGGCTTAGTGGTTGAGTGCCCCTGAGTTCAATCCCTGCCCTCCTGCCACCAAAAGAAAATATCCAATTTAGATGGATGGGAGTGGGAATCAGAGAGCAGAAGCCTCACCTGGGCCAGACAGACAGCACAGAACCAGTCTCCTTCTGGGACAGCCTCCATCTTGGGCCGATGGCAGTAAATGTGGCAGCCACGGTCACACCCATCACAAAGCAGAAGAAACTCATCGTTGTCACCCTTCCGACAGACTAGACAGGTCTGGACCAAGGTAGTGAGGAGAGAGAGTGAGCCCTCAAGCCTCTGCATACCAGTAACCCCACCCACTCTGGGCAGCTGTCTGCTCAGCCTTTCTAGACTTTTCTAGTCTCTTACCACTTTGTTGACAGACTTCTCCCAAGCAATGGACCTTTCCAGCTGGCCCACACACAAGCACACCTGTGCTGCACTCCGGCATCGCTCAAGTGTCTGGCGCCAGACACGAACTCGAGGAGTGATTTCATAAGATCTGAAGGGAGAAAGTGATGCTCTCTGAAGGAAAAGTAGGATCCACTAAAGACGGGGGTACTTATATCCCTTTTATCCTCCAAACCAAGAAAAGTGGAGTGGGAATTACTCACATCTCTGTAGTGGTGCCTTCAGGAGCACCATTGGGTGTGCTGAGCAAGGCCTTCTCTAGTACCACTTCATGAGCTGGCCAGAGAGGCTCCCGCAGGTACCGCCGCTCCACATTCTGTTCCAGGGCAGCCAGTCGCATAACAGCCAGGTCCAGAGGGTTGGTACTCTTACGTTGAGGTGCCAGTCCTTCCCTGCCCCGACCTCTCCAGGTAATATCTTCCTGGGAGTCAGGGAGATGCTCACAGTAGGTCAAGTCTTCCCGAGTAGAGTCTGGGCTAGGAC